GCCCCCACTGCAACTTGAGACCTTTGCTCCTTGTTCCGTCATCTGCCACCACTGAGAACAGCCGAGCTCCATCCTCTTTGGAACCCCCCTTCAGGTAGTTGAATGAAGCTATCAAATCCCCCCTCAATCTTCTCTTCTGGAGACTAAACAATCCCAGTTCCCTCAGCCTCTCCTCATAAGTCATGTGCTCCAGACCCCTAATCATTTTTGTTGCCCTCTGCTGGACTCTTTCCAATTTTTCCACATCCTTCTTGTAGTGTGGGGCCCAAAACTGGACACAGTACTCCAGATGTACTTTGTAGTTATTACTTTGATTATGAGCTCTGTGGGGCAAGGACTGCCTTTCACATATCTCTGTACAGTGCCTAGCACAATAGTGTCCTGGTCTATGACTGTGACTGTAATATAAATAAATAATATATAGTTCTCATCTGAAAAGAACCTGTGTTAGGTTGGGGGAGGGTTTAAATAAAATGAAAAATTATAAGAGATGTAAAAATTGCTTCAGTTCATGGCCGGTGGGAATCAGTTTAAGTTTTAGCTGAGCCTAATGAAATTCTTTCCCGTTTATGAAGTCACTGCACATCCTACTTGTCCAGTTTGACAGGCATAGATCTGCCAGAATAGTTGGCATGAACTGATTATACATGTCTCATTGTAACACACAGAACATAATCCTCCAAAAACTTTCCTAAACATCAGGGATAGAACATATGGACATTTAAAAAAAAGAAAGTGTCAGCAATGTTTGCTGAATTCTGCAATAGCCTGTAAATTCCCCTTGCGTACACTAGACTAGGTCTAGGTTACACCATCCTCCTTGGGGTAGAGAGCAAGCAAATAGGTTATCAAAATTTAAAAAATTCACCACCTCTGGTAAGTACCTCATTGAACTGGAAACACAAAATCACAAGAGACACTTCCCAGTTTCTGGCAGGCCACTTGAACACTTCTAGGTTACATTGTCTAATGTCATGGTTTGCACAGAGTAGAAGAGTAGATGAGACATTCCTTGTTTTCACTATGTTACCAGCCTTCACCCCCTCAGGTAAGGAAATGCCCAAATTACATATTTCTGGTGAGATCCTGGCCCCAGTGCAGTCCACAGCAAAACTTCCATTGATTTCAGTGGGGCCAGCGTTTCACCTCTTTGTGTTGACAAGAAATCTAGGCTCGCTTGTAAGGCTTGAATATAGCGTTACTTTGAAAGTGCACAGTCCATAAATGAAGAACAGGTAGCGATAGTACACGTAAAAGAAAAAGCCCTTACAATATTCAGTGCCCATATTTCTGTTGCAGTATGATGGTGTCAGGGAGAATTTTTAATCCCTTATGTTTGTCTTGATTAACCAAAAAAATCTATGGAATCCTCTATAACTGACAAACTGAGAGAAGATTTTTTTTTTTGAGTTATTTTTTCCCTCATGGCTCATGACCTTGTGAAATGGAAAACCAGACGGGTTAAATTTCCTTCCAGAAAATCAAGATGAAAAATTAAAAACTATGAAGTAAAGAGCTGGAGGGTTATGACCCCTTTCACTGACGGCATGGGAAATGAGAAGACAAATATCCCTCTCTTTTTATAATACGATGCAATTATACAAAATAAATGACACTCTTCTACCAAAGACATAAAATGAAACCTTTTTGCTGTTGGAGCTCTAGCTCCCGCAGGCTACTTCTTCTCTAGAAGGTTCTTGGGAGGGAAATTTGTGTAAATTATATTTGGGATTAATGACAGTACATTAGGGTGCCTCTCTCTCTCTTTTTTTTTTTTAATAAAGATTGAAGAGAAGCCGAGGAGAAATGAGCTTGTGTCAGAGACAGGATTGACTTTGCCACTGCAATAAATATAAAATCTTAGACTAACGGCCTTTCAGTCCCAGAAGAGAAGACCTTCAGAGTTTGGTTTCATAAGTTTACAAAAATCAACAGTGCAGCCCTAGTCTTTAATTCAGTCTCAGTTTTCTGTTATTCCCTCAGCCTAAGATATCAAATACTCAGAAGTTGGCTTTGGTAGATCATTGTTCTTGGATAAACATGCTGAAGGAAAAGCACTCCTGCTTGCTAGTGCATCACATTGCAGCGGAGATGGAATCTTTGAGTAACTATAGGCACAACCCCTTTTTTTTAAACTGTGTAGAGAGTTCCCAGATGTTGATACTCTTATGTGTGTGTCATTCTTCAAAGCAAAGAAGTAACCAAAGGAGGTTTGCTTTTTTATTGTGCCTAGTGAAAGAGCATTTATGAGAAGAGAGACCCAGCAATCAAAGGAAAAGGGAGAACAGACCACAGACTGTATCAAATTAAAAATTGATAAAGTATAAAAAATTGCTTTCATGACATTGTATGAGGTGGAAGAATATGTCTAGAATAATTGTTGCTACACAAAAGTAGACAAGAAGAAAACTCCACTTTTTCT